CTTTGGCAGCGGCATGATCTCAACGTCCAAGGTGATGCAGAACTCCTTGTGGTCGCTCTCCCAAACACGAGCCTTCCATTACCGGTATGCAGAGATCCGAGAGGGGGCTATACTTGGTTGACCATGTCCAACAACCACTCCTGGTGCCCTATCCTGATGACTGGCCGGATGACGCTACATTTCAGGAGCTCCTCATGGGCAAACCAGGGCCTTGGACAGTAGACAAGCCAGTTCTGGTCTGCCATGTAACAAGGGACACCTGCATCGATGGGGTCACGAGCAAGCACGCCAAACCATGAATCGCAATGGAACATTCAGAGTCATCTGCCATCGTGGACCCAGCCATGAGACTGGCCACTACTTTGCAATCCTCATCTACCGAGACCTGATGTGGATTGCAGACGATGGACAGACGCCAACACACTTGCCCCATGTAACACCGAAGTTGGCAAGTCAAATCGCTCAAGTCTTCGGTGATGTGGACACGTTCAGATCTCCACAGCAGGTCATCAGAGACTTACCACCACCAGAGGAGCCGGACTATACCTTTCCTGGAAACTCAATTGCGGACAGGCCTCTTGAAGTCTGGTCTCCACGACTGCCACAGTGAGTCCCTGATGGGCCCTGGTGCCACAGGCGCTGATCGATGTTGCGGGGCTTGCCATGGCTGTTTACACCTCCCAACCAGGTGCTTCTTGTGTTGTTTGGTATGGCGGGCCTGGCGCCTGGGCGCCTTGCCACAGTGTGCTGGTATATCACAGCATGGTCCTCGTCCACAGTGCGTTGCCAGGTTGCGCTGTTGCGGTCACGCAGAGTGTTGGCCCTTTCCCACGCCGCCAGCGCTGCATCTCGTTGCCGCCTGCGCAGATGTGGTTCGTCGCCTGGAGCCTCAGGTGTGCTGGCGTTACGGCTGACATAGAGATTGTGACTGACCCTCTGCAGGTCCTCTTCCATGATGCCCTCCATGAGGACCGCCTGTCTTGCACCGCGTGTGGGCTGCAGCTCCATTTGGACAAGGGGCTGGCGTTCGAGGACCTCCACCCATCCATGAGATGTTCAACAAACAAGCCTCTCAAGCCAGTGGCATTGTCGCCCACACGCCAGAGCCACAGAGTGACCAATTTGAGGAGGCATTCTCGGCGCCCAGGCCACGCAGGATCCACTTTGACAGCTCACAAAGCCAGACACACCGCGACAGCTGCCTGCAAGAGATCTCCCATGCACACTTGCACCGGCCATGAACCCCAGCCCAGCAGCAAGCGGGACACCTGAAGCAGGTTCAGCTCCAGCTTGGCGCGCACCAGACTCCAAGGGGGTGACGCGAAGAGGCAGAAGAAGAACCACTGGCTGATGATGAAATGGTGGCTGTCGACTACTTCTAGCCTCCCATGGCCTACGTACGGCGCCGGCCACAAGGGCCCTTGACTTCTGCAACCTATTTAGAAAAATACATCCATCCATCCATCCATCCATCCATCCATCCATCCACCCATCCATCCATCCATCCATCCATCCATCCATCCATCATTTGCATCAGAAAAGAATCACTCCTCCCACCAAGGATTGATGATACTCACAGCCCACAAAACGATAGGCGAAAACAAACAAAGCGTTGTGAATCCCATCATGTGGTCATCAAAGAAAATCCAAAAGGTGGCAGTCAGCACGTTGTCCGCAGAAGCGACCTTCTTGCATGGTGCAGGTTGTTCTGGAGCTGGCTCATGGACCAAAACTGCCAGTGGAGACCAGGTGATAAAACACCAGCACAACTGCCACCGGCCTTCTCCGATGAACCCGAACTTCTCGATCCCAATGAATCACTAAGTGAAAATTTGGTAAGACTTCAAGAAATTGGAAAAGAAGATGCAATAGTGGCCACGGACTGTAAAAATTTGTTTGAACTCATCAATAGGACCGCTCCTCCAGCATGCCAGGAATTCCGCACCGATATACACATACACACCCGCAAATGATTTGCGGGTGCGCAGAGGTTTTGACGCAGTAGACTCTGCCAGAGGCACAGGCCTTCCTCTATCAACATGCACCTCAAAGATAATGAACTTAATTGCAGCGGTTAAACTGTACACTGTAAACGGAACTAGGTGGGTTTAAACAAGGGCCGAACGGACACTATGGTCATTTTATGTCGCCGGCTGGTTGGGGCTTTGATCAAACAGCCCTTGGTGTAGCAAGATGTTCCACTGCTGCCGGGTGGTGTGAAGTGCTGATAAGGAGCGTTGATGAATAAACAGCGCAACAGGCCATTGGGGCTATTTTGGACTTGGGCTTAAGGGTGTGGCTGGCGTGGTCTTTGCAATTTGCAGCGTATCGGTTTCTCATTGCGCTCGATGTGCAGCTTACCACAAATCCCCGTAAATCGCCAGAGATCGCAACGAAGACCTACTCACCTTACCTAGCAAACCACCACAGGTCAGAAATTGCCACACATGACCTCGGTTTCAGAAGCCAGAAACGACTAGAGATCGGCGTCGCCATCGCGAATGATTACAGATCAGAAAATCACAGCAATTCAGTTCACCCAATTTTGACCTGAGTCCTCGTCACCCGGACAGTGCTGTGAATTGCATGACCTTTTTTCCCGAGAGCGTCTGCGAAGGGTTCTTCGTAAAAAAACATCTGCAGAACTACGTCTCATCTACATATTCACATCTTCACCTCTGCACATCCACATTTTCTCACCTATATCTCTGCTCATGTTCACATCTGCGCGTCTACATCTCTGCTCATCTTCACATCTGCATGCTCATCTTCACATCTGCGCATCTACATCTCCGCTCATCTTCACATCCTCACATCTACATCTCACATCTTCACCTCTGCACATCCACATTCTCACCTATATCTCTGCTCATGTTCACATCTGCGCATGTACATCTCTGCTCATCTTCACATCTGCAGATCTACATCTCCGCTCATCTGCGCATCCTCACATCTACATCTCACATCTTCACCTCTCGCTCTTCTTTACTTTCTCTCTTAAGGCCGGGGGCGGTGCCGCCGGAGCACCACGAAACGCAACCCTCTGCGGAGATCGCGCGCGTCGAACGCAGGCAAGAGTGCGTTTTGTCTCTGTCCGGCGCAACCCTCTGCGGAGATCGTGCGTGTCGAGGGCGCGAAATGCAGGCGAGAGCGCGCTTTGGATTGGGCGCGGGCAGCCCTCTGCGGAGATCGTGCGTGTCGAGGGCGCGAAATGCAGGCGAGAGTGCGTTTTGGGCCGGTCCGGCGCAAAATCGAGCGTGTCGAGGGCGCGAAATGCAGACGAGATTGCGTTTTGGATTTGGCGCGGGCAAGCCTCTGCGGAGATCGTGCGCGTCGAGGGCGTGAAACGCAGGTGTTTTGGCCCGGTCCGGCGCCCCCGTCTGCAGAGCGTGTCGAGGGCGCGAAACGCAGCGGAGATCGTGCGTGTCGAGGGCGCGTAATGCAGGTGAGAGTGCGTTTTGGCCCGGTCCGGCGCAACCCTCTGCGGATCGTGCGTGTCGAGGGCGCGAAATGCAGGTGAGAGTGCGTTTTGGCCCGGTCCGGCGCAACCCTCTGCGGATCGTGCGTGTCGAGGGCGCGAAATGCAGGCGAGCACCCCTCTGCGGAGATCGTGCGTGTCGAGGGCGCGAAATGCAGGTGAGAGTGCGTTTTGGGTGCTTTTTGGAGCTAGACTGTTGTACAGGAGAGAGCTTTTCGGAGCTGGACTCAAAAGTGGCCAGTTTGTAGTGCAAATGTAGTACGGGAAAGAGCTTTTCAGAAGTGGCCTGCTTGTAGTACAAATGTAGTACGGGAGAGAGCTTTTCGGAGCTGGACTCAGAAGTGGCCAGTTTGTAGTACAAGTTTAAATGTAGTACACTCAGAAGAGGGCAGTTTGTAGTACATATGTAGTGCAGGAAACAGTGTTGTGGAGCTGGGCCCAGAAGTGTTTGCTTCTAGTGTGATATGATTGCTTCTAGTGTGTGGGCAGACCGTGTGGCGAATTACGTTCGTGATGTCGCAGCGGCCTTAATGGTGGAAAGTGCGTTTGCGTGGCGCCGTGCCACTGGGCACTGGGGAGCGCGAAACATGCTGGCGTAAACGCGGCGTGTCGCTGGTAGCGGGATGATTGGCGGTATCGCGTGATGGGCTAGCTTCGTATGTGGGCAGAAAGTGCGGCGTGATGGAAACTGCGTTTGCGTGGCGCCGTGCCACTGGGGAGCGCGAAACATGCTGGCGTAAACGCGGCGTACGGGATGATTGGCGGTATCGTGTGATAGGCTAGCTTCTACTATGTGGGCAGAAAGTGCGGCGAAGGACGTCCGTGATGTCGCAGTACCATGCGGATTTGCGCGGCCTTGGTGGGAAGTACGTTTGCGGGGCGTCGTGCCAGTGCATGGGGAGCGCGAAACATGCTGGCGTAAACGCGCCGTGTCGCTGGTGAGCGGGATGATTGGCGGTATCGTGTGATAGGATTGCTTCTAGTGTGCTCTGTACATTTATATCACGTCTGTACATCCACACTGTCACTCCTTCACATCCGCCCTCTCTTTCTTTCTTTCTTTCTGTCTTTCTGTCTTTCTTTCTTTCTTTCTTTCTTTCTTTCTACATGTCCTTTCTCTCACCTGCGTAGATTTTACATCTTGACACGCTCACATCTGCAGATCTACCTCTCCACCTCCACACATCTGTACATCTATATCGCGCCTGCGCATCCACACTGTCACTCCTTCACGTCCGCCCTCTCTTTCCCTCCTTCTATACATCTTTTCTTTATATTTTAAGTGGAATTCTTCGCAACTTCTTACTCAATAACAGATTGTATAAAGAAGTCATGGCTCTTGGACAACTCGATTTTTATTGTTTCACAACTCGACAGTGCTGAACAATCACCTGTCTCGCTCTCGGGCCAACTGGCAGCTCCAGGCGGACTTGATCAAATTCTAGTGGGGTTGGCAGGGTTTTGTTTTCAACGCTTGGCCCGCTTGGCTTAGGATGGAATTCAGAGGACAAATGCTGCGTTGATGATGTCGGGCCCATGGAAGCCGGCCAAATCAGGTACTGCAGGCCATGCGTTTGGGCATACAGGGTCAGCAACTCTTTTTTAAGTTGACACCTCGTAACAAACAAGGTAAACTGGTTCAACTTGTGCTTATGAAACTGGGAATGACACGTACAGAATATAGGTACACGCAAGTATCGCTCAGCTTCAAGAAATAGGAAGCGCGCATCCGCCCAAGCGTCCTTTGATATCCGAACTAGCTGATTTCCACTTCGGGCGTAAAACGGTTGGTTTGACACCCTAAACAAACAGACAAGGTCAAGGGGTCGCAAGCCTCACTCATTCGGGAGCAACGAAATTGAAAGGCGGATTTGAAGACTTATGTCTTTGGGACGAAGTGAGGGCCTGACAAGTCTTTTTTTTGTGCAACATTCACGGCCTTTCGATAGCAGAAAACAACATCCTCAGGAACAAATCCAAGATTTTGGAGAGCCCTTCCTTTTATACAAAAAGTGCTGTAGACGAACATCCAATTCTTCCCCAACAGCGAAGCATAGCGAAGCTTAGGGGTCTTCAGCCACAGTAAAGACTTCGGAGGTTTCGGAGGAAGTTCCGGAGCCGGTTCCGGAGCCAGTGCTGAGCAGTTTCGGCATAAGTTCCAGAGTGGTTCTTGACAGGTTCCGGAGTAAGTTCCCCAGCAACACGTTGCCATCGCTGAATCGGCAAATTCGTGCCCCGCTGTTGGGGATTGTTTGGCGTACTGTTGCCAGGGATTCTTTTCAACTTCCAACAATTTGGCACTTTTTCCCCAAGGGCGAAGCTTCAGCAACAGTACTTTCCGCCGCCCCCCGGCCTCAATTTGTAATGCTATCAGGTCACCTTGCTTGTGATGTGGACATCTCACATGTTGCCCTTCGGTCGTGCTAAGTTGGTCACGCTGATGCGCTGGCGTGGCATGTTGTCTGGCTGTTATGGTGACTTGTTGTCAAGCTGACGTGCTGCCACAGGCCACGCTGAGATGATGACCCATGGCCACGCTGAGATTCTGACGTTGGGTGATGCTGTTGTGGTGACATGTCCGCCCGCTCGGAAGAGGTAAAGGGAGCTGGTCCCTTTGTTCTTGCTTGTTGCGGTGTTGTCATGATAGGACGTGCGTCGATGCGTAGCGTGTTGTGATGCTGGCGTCGCGTTGGAAAAGCTCACGCGCTTCACGAAAGATATAAACATAATTTATAAATTTTATTGATGAACTTGCGATGATTTTAATTCATGTTTAGCTGTTGGCAGGTTTTCTTGGACTTGCTCTCTCGTCCAATCTCTCTCACTTCATCGTGTCTTCAGGCACTGTGGGCTTCGATGAAGTGCAGATCGTGGCGTCTCGACACGGCTCGGCAGAGAGCCGAGAGGCGATTCGCACCACAGGCCTTGCGCCTTGGCCGCTGTTGAACAAGTTTCCTAATGTCTATATATATATATGTATATATATAGGCCCGACCTCGACTGTATGGTGTCCTTGCATGTAGCTTCCCTTAACCCCTCCAAGGCACAAGTTCTTGATGCCCTTTCTCCCTGTTGTCAACTCGTTTTAGACATGAATATTGTGGAAAAGAAGGCAGTTCCTTTAGGGCTACAGTCTACAGTGGTTGTGGGCGCCCTAGAGAGAAGGTTTTCAGCTTAAGATCGTCTAGCTTCATTTTTCCTTGAAACGTCTAAAAGTAGGTTTTGAACAGCTTTTGTCGCAAGAGCGATAAGTCCAGCTGAGATCGAATCTAATCAAAACATTCATTTTTGTTCGATTTGAACGATGGTCCACGCTCAATACAATCTCACAGGCAGGAATGTTTTGGGGCCTCGAGTTCGTGTTGCCCTTTTCTGTTGGCCTCTTTGGTTGTCGCGCTGCCGTGGTGATTCTTGTGTTCATGTTTTGCTCACCTGCCTCCCTAACCCTAACTTGGATGGTTCAGACTGGTCTCTCATCTTTGTGTTGGCTAGTTCCCATGGTTTCTGCGGGTGAGGGGTTTGATTTTTGTGGACCCCCAGCTCTGACATAGAAATTTTGTTGTGTATAGCTGGTCATTCGTTTCACCGATTTTCACATTCTAGCAGCCAGTGCGCCTGTCCGTTGGCGGAAGCGAACCAGCAGGCTGTGCAATCATTGCGTGTCAGGGACCATGAGCGGTGCGTGACACACATAGATGCACATGTGTCAGTGACGCATCTGGGCCCAAATACAGCATTGAAAACGATGCGCGCGATTTTTCAACATTTGTAAGTAGCGTTGTCATGATGACGAAAAACATCAATTTAAAAGGTCTACCTCGTTTGCAACACCTTTACTGTAGAGGCCAAGTATCCTTCAGTGTAAGAGTTTTCCTTCAACGAAGCAAAGTTTTGCCCTTTCCGCAGTCCCTCCCCATCATAACCTGCACTGCCTAGGTTTCGGACCAGCTGCTGAAGTTTTCATTGTATATAATTATATATGTTATACAGTCAACTTTTGTCACCAAGTACTTTCTCTCTAGCTTCTAGTTCCCAAGGGGGACGTCGCGCAGCTTTAGAACGTTTTGTTGCCCCAAGCTGCAAAAATATTCCGCGTCAATAGTTTGTATGATGTGATGCGCTCAAAACAATATGAACATGGCACGCCTTGACCTACCAGCAGATTAGTCCCGCTGCCTTGTGTTTGGGTGCTTGCCTGACATGTAAACTTGCAGGCGCACTGTGTCCAGCCTTCGCACCATCCTCAGGAGAGATACATGAAACCCTTAAAGCTCAAGGGCGATGGCTCAATTGAAGTTACGGTCCACTACGTCAGTGACGAGACCCTCGTGCAAGAGGATGAAGTCGGTAATACATATGTCTTCAAAAAGATGTCGGAGTCCTATCCAATTCCATACGCCTCTTGCCTTCAATGCTTGTACTTGTGACTGGCGGAGGGCCTTGTGCAACTTTTGTAGGACAGAGTATGTACACCCTTTCCCTGAACTGAAGGGTTTTTGGTTAGCGCCGGTCTCCTCAACACTTTTGCAGTGGCTGTTGTCAAGTTTGCAGTCTTTGTTTTCACGACCTAGCCACAAGCGATGCGTGGAGCATCGGTGACAACTCATAGGTTTTATGCTACAGCAATTCAATATTCTTCACTTGAAGATGCCCATTGGTTCTTCTGGCATGTGAACCATCAAGGCAGCTCTTGCCAAAAACACAAAAAATGCCAAGCTTGAAGGATGTGGTCAACCCAAGAGCCCCATCAAAGAATTCGGGGATCGGCGCGCGCGCGCGGAAATGAGTGAGGGAACAGAAAGGCGAGTGAGTCCGAAAAATTGAAGGTGTTGAACCCAGGTGTTGCAATCGCTCAGAAATCGCAGAAAACGGCGGCGGTGAGCTCAGCAGCTAGAAAATGGGTTTGTGGGGGGTAGCATGCAAACCACCATGGAAGCAAAACATCAGGCATTGGACAGCGTGGGCAAAAGTTCTTTCAGCAGGTACGTCACTGGACGTCTCCAGTGATATCCTCAGGATACTGCAGAGAGCTTTGTTAAGTGGAGCTCTGCAGGCCTGCTCCACTCCCCTGCAAATCATGTATAAGGAACAAAACTTAGAAACAGAGGGGGACACGCAGAATGCCGGCTCCGGCGCTTGCAGAAAGGCTTGGCGTTCTTTTTTGGCCTTAAGAACCGTTTGCAGTCTATTGCTGCATGTCCCTTGAGGACATAGAGGTTGACAAGCTGTGTGGAGTCGTGAAGCAAGGCCACAGAGCGTGAGCCTTTTGCTCCCGGCGCTGGTGGCATCTTGGATTTCCCAACATTGGGTGGGTTGTATGTAGCTGATGGTGCGTTGATGGAGATCAATGTTGAAACCCAAGAGGTGAAAGTCATCCACTGTTTCAAGCTCGACGGGGTCGCCGAAAAAGTTGTGGTGGATGAGTGTTTGGATGGCGGGGTGAGAAAGGAAGTGTTCGTTGTGGACAATGAAACGGTTGTCCACATATCGGTAGTATGTGAAGTGTAGGTCGGTGTGATGAAGAAGATTGTTGTGAAGCTGCTGCCAGGAATGTTCAATCAGGGTGATGGCGACGTTGCATAGGGCTGGTGACAACTGGGAGCCAATCCCAGCGCCGCGTATCTGTTTGTAAGTGTGGTTGCAAGTCCGGAAGTGTTGAGTGCAACTGCTACGATGGTGGTGATGTCAGCTGTGTGTGGATGGTGCGTTGGATGTCTGGCGTGGTGGCGACCAATGTGTGAATGGCGGTAAGGGTTGCCTGTGGCTTTGGTGTCGACGGTGAGAGTGTGAGTGGTATGCTGGGTCTGCCAGTGCTGGATCAAACTGTGGACGGCGTCAATCAGGCGGTGTTGGGGGACGGAGTTGAAGAACCCAACAAGGTCACCATTGGTAGCGCGGAGGTTTATGTCTGAGGGAGTTTGAGAGAGGTAAGTGTGGAAGTGGCGCCAGAGTTGCGGGATAGAAAGTTGGCCTGGTAGGGTAATGTCGAGTGCTCTGCTGGTGAACGAGCCGCCACACCACTGCAACACAACACCACTCAAACCTCCCCTCCTCTCTCACCTCTTCGGCTCCTCCGAACAACAAACCTCACCTCCCCTCACACCTCTCTTGCTCCACCAGACCAGGACCAGTCTCTGCGGCCATCGCCACCGCACAGACAGCACAGTCTCACCTTACACCACCGATCACCATCGAATCACCTGCACAAACCGAGATCCACGCATTACCACTTTACCCCGGCATTTTCACGCATCACTCGCGACAGGTCTCCTGTTGCCAACATCACTTCTCAACCTCATCGGAGGCACGCCTCCACGCAGCAGGCCTCACGGTTCTCACAGGCCTTCGTGTATCCCCTACGGGATCGTTCATCTCAAGGCCAAAAAACAATGGCAGAAAGGTCGCGCTATCATCTCGTACTACCAATCACTTGCAGGCAATCTTCTCCGCATTGGACGTAGGTGGGAAGCCGTAGAGAAGATGGTTGCTGACAATGAGTCGCTGGCCAGGTGCAAGGCCTCTGCCTGGCGGAAGAATGGGATGGAAGGGTGGTTCAGTTAGTTGAGTGTTGGGGTCGATCGTAGGGTCAGTGAGGAAGGCGCTGGCGGGAAAGCGCCCAATCGTCTCCACCGTTTGGATGGCGCGGAGGACGTGAGTTTCCGCGTTTTGCGTGTGGAGACGGTAGTTTTCAACAAGATCCACAACGGGGCTCGGTAGCTCATCTCTAAATGGATCGCGCCGCATGGGTGTTTCACGTAGGGTAGTGAAATCGTGGAGGAGCCCAGTGAGTTGGAAGTGGTGCACCCCCACGTCTGTCAAAACTGCAAGGAGTGAGCCGGGCGGTTGTTGTAGGCCCAGGCCCAGAAGCTCGTGTCAATCCCTTCCTCGGGCGGCGCGCTCATCGCGAAGGTGGATCGCAAAAAGGTAGGGAGCGCGGGAAGGTTTCAAAATGGCTGCGATGGAGAAAACGAAAATGAAAGGCTAAAGATGACTGGTTCTCAAGTGTGAAAAATCAACAGGTGAAATGTAGTACAGTACCCCATGAGGAAATTGAGTGCCCGCTATTTTAGCGACTGTCGTTATAGCTGTAGTCGCAAGGTGAAACAACATGCAAAATGTAGGCGGCTATTCAGAGGTTCTGTGTGCTGCAGTGGCCTCGGCCACACTCTGTGCGATCCGCATAATAGCATCCGCCAGTGGGAACAGGGGCTGTGGTGCTGGATGTGGTGGAGGTGGAAGAAGGCTAGGATCGAAAGCTGGTTGAGGTGGTGGTGGAGCTGCCATAGGTGATGGCTGCAAAGGTGCCGCAGGAATGGATGGTGGGGCGCGGGATGGTGTGTGAAGTAGATCGAGGAAATGTCGGATTTCAGAAGAAACTTGTAGGGAGAGGGGGCACGGTGACCTCGAGCCAGCTATACTGGTCTGGTGGGTGTGTTTGAAATGTCTGGCCGGTGTTGAAGGTACGGACAGGCTGAGCGGGTGAAGCCTCAAAGGTGGTTGTCCTGGTCTCGCCTAAGGATGGGTGCATTTGTGTAAAGAATAATGGGGTCCTCGCTGCTGGTGGATGCTGGTGAAGGTGGGCGTGCTGGTTTGTGTCGAGAAGAGGATGCTTGTGGAGAAGAGCGGCGTGGGGGTGGCTTGGTGGAGAGGTTGCGGTAGCGGCGTAGTGAAACAGGTTGCTTTGGTGGTGATGTGGTGGGGGGGATCAAACGTCTCTGTGGGGAGGGGATCTGTAGGTTTGTTGTGTGAAGCTACGGGAGTGGAGGAGGAGCAAGGTTCTTCTTTGGGAGTACGGATCTTCTTTCACAGGCCAATCTGGTGACGGAGACCGTATTTAATCAGGAGCTTCCTCGTCTATCGCGAAAAGGCAGAAATGGAAAGCAGTGTGCAAGGGGCCGAAACAAAATTTGGAAATAACATGGCTGCGGGACATGTGAAGTGGAAAGTATTGCGGTGATGGAGAAAATGAGTTGAACCAGTAAAAAGAACAAGCCCGAAACAAGGATGGCTGTATGGACGACTGCGCTGGATTTTCCAGGGCCTGAAGCGCTCGTCATAGTGTGAATGAACCAGTGTTAAAAAGCGTATATCGTACCGAAGCAAGGGTGCGGATCACCAATTGCCGTGAAAAGTCCTCCAGCCGTTAGTGGATGCCGCTGCGTCCATAGAATCACGAGTAATAGTGGATGTGGAAACACTCCACAGGTGGTGGTGGAGGGGCTGGATGTGATTGGGCGGAGGAGGCTGAGCAGGCGGAGCGGGAGTGGGAGGTGAGGTGGTGTTGTGGCTGTTGAAGAAAAGTGGAATGTCCCATGTGAGAGAAGTAGAGCGTTGTTCTCGGGAACGAGAACGTGCGCGGTGGGTGTGCGGCGGTCGGTTGGTGGTATTGTATGACTTGATACTCTGGTGGAAGAGAGGGTGGAGAATGACAAGGAGAGAGCGGAGCGGTGCAGCGGTAGTAGCCATGTGAACCTGGAGAACCTGGTAAGTACTGGAGGAGGCAACGACCTTGGGTGAGGTCGAGCATCAGTGGTGCCAGGCGGTGCAGCGTTGCGGAATTGGACGAAGAGTCGGTTGGAATTCTGGTCTGTGAAGTATTGCTGCCCAGGAAGTGGGTCAAAGACCAGTGGGTGATGCAGGATGGTGCTGATGATGCATTCCATCATGTGTAGCATCCGCTGTAGAAGCAGAAGCTCAGGTTGGTGGGGAACTGAAGGTGCCATGTAAGGCATCGGATTGCGTGGAAGAAAGTGCTGAGTGGAGGGCTGGTCTACCGGGACGGGCTGCCGGCCGCCGCCCCGAGCGCCAGTGACGAGCTGCTCAGCATTTTGCAACTCAGATAAACGCGCTGCAACCACCAGCCGCTTGTTTCACCCCAGCTCTTTCGGCGAGCCATCGCAAAAATACAATTTCTCTGGTTTCGTGATCTTGATGTTCTCTACGATTCCATTTTTGCTGAGCTAAGACGCATGTCTAGGATCGTTACGTCGGGACAGACATGATTTTGCTTCTCACCTGGATCAGCCTTGACCTGAAAAAACATCATTTTCCTTTCATTTAGGCTTTCATTTGTTCGAAAATGTCCATTCAACCTTTTGTTTGTCCTGCTCTTGATGGCCACTTTGCCTGATCTTTCCACCCACGACATGCTCGAGAACGATACCCTCACAGGACACACGGATATGATCATCGCAGGCTGGGAGTCGTGGTGCGGCGAGGGAGCAGTGTTGGCTGGTGAGGTGGGAGAGGGAAGGAGATTGTGAGGGGGTTGTTGTGGCTTGCTGTTGGTCTTGAAGTTGCTGGAGTTCTTGAAGTTCTGCCCAGCGGGCTTTGCACTCTTCGACGGAAAAGCCCACGCGTCTGGCTACATAGGTTCAATTGGGTCGGAGATGAGTATCGGTCTTCAATTCAACCAAGCGACACTCTG